AAGAAAAAATTGTTAAAAAAGATTGGAAGAATTTTTTTAAGAATTACACAACGATTTATTTCCTAAATTTGTATCCAATTTGCAGGGTTTTTAAATTCATTTGTATTTGGATTTGTTTTTATAAAGAATTGACATATTTTTGGCATAAGAATGTCCAAATTTGTTACAAAAAATGGGATTCAGATTTTGGTAAAAAAGAAAATGATACAAAAAAATGGGATTCAGATTTTGCCATAAGAATCTCCAGATTGTTATTTAAAAAAAAAAAGATTTAAGATCTTGTTACTAAAGATTCACATTTTTTTTATTTGAAATTTCCACTAATAGTAAGTCAAACTATTTATTTTTTTCGTCAAAGTTACTAAAAATAATTTTATCAGCAACTTTTTTTATATTAGTATAGATATATAGATAGATGTTTACATAGAGCAAAAATGATAGGTGAATAAAATAAAGTACTAAGAAATGAAGATATGGCCGAAAATTGGTAATTTTTTTTAAAAGATTCAGTTAATTAGATAGATCAAAATAAGATTGCGAATTCATTTTTTTCTGTTAGAGCACCCACAATGCTTTGGGTCTCTTAACAAAAAATCACATGCCACATGGGAAATAGACTTAGTCTATAAAAAAGTACTTCCCAATGCAATTAAAAGTGGACATGGTCTAGCTTATGTGGCAATGAAAAAAAGAGACCAAGTTCACACTTGGGTCTATTTTGGACCCAAGTACAAACCCAAACACTCATCATTTGTTCTTAATTTAATTTTTTTTAATGAATAAAACATATTAGAGCATTTCTATTGGTTGGCATGTATGCTAGACCTAGTCTTTTTACTTTTGCATTGCAAAGTTTTTGAGTTTTTTTACTTAGGTTTGTCCATGTCATTTAAAACTCAAGTCCAATTATAGCAAATATATATTATACTAGTACGACACCCGTGTACTACACGGGTTGTTTGAAAAAAAAATATAAAACATAAAATAATAAAAAAAAACACATATGTTGTTGTATAACTATTTCAATTCTTTAAAATATATTAGAAAGATCATATAATATTCTATAACTATTTCAATGTATTTTTATAGATATTCTAAAAAGATTTAAATAATTTATTTATGGTTGGATTGAAAAGATATAATATGCAAGTGGCTATATATTTTTTGTAAAATTACTTAATTTAAACTATATAAAAAAGTTATTGTTTACATTGATTATATAAATAAAATAATATATAAAGCTAATTTTTTTTATTTTGGTTTACACGACAAGATAAGAATCCTAAGATGTAATGTTGTCAAGTAAGCTTTATACGATAAGAATTTGGAGTTGGAGGATTTAGACGGCATATAAGAATCCTATTTATTTGGGAAGTCTTATAAGATAAAGAATCCTATTTAATTTGGAGTTGGAGGATTTACACGACATATAAAAATCTTATTTATTAAGTATTTTATTTTAAACAATTAGGGAATGTATCTGAACCAAAAGCCGAAGCATGTATTGTTGTCAAGTAAGCTTCCGAAGGCTCAACACGTTTTCAAAAAATCTTATTTATTAAGTATTTTATTTTAAACAATTAGGGAATGTATCCGAACCAAAAGCCGAAGCATGTAATGTTGCCAAGTAAGCTTCCGAAGCGTGCGAAGCAGCCAATTAGGCTCAGCACGTTTTCAAATTATATTAAGAGGGAATATTGTTTGATTTGTTGCTTCTTTTGTATATATCTATACTTATATAATAAGGTGTACCATTTACGAAATTTAGTAAGTTGAAAAGTCAATGCAATAAATGCATTACTATTTTGAGCAACATAATATAAAAAGAGATTCTATTTACTACATTTACTATCCAGAAAAGTCAACTGCATTAAATGTCATTGTTATTTTGGTATTATAATATTTTATTTATTTAATTGATTTATTTATTTGTTTTATTTTAAAAAAGATAAGTATAATAAAAATATTTTAATAATAAAAAAATCAAAAATACCAAATAAAAATGTACACTTTGACTTATTTGATTATATTTGGTATTTGATTATACCAAATATATTCGTATTTAGTATATACATTAAGTACTTACTAAAGTATTTATTTGTTTTATTTGTTAAAGTTAAGTATAGATTTGTGTATATTATCAAATCATAAAAAAAATATTAAATCCATATTGTAAAAAAAAAATCATATAATTTTATAACAATTCTACTACACTATTTAACAATATTTTTTTTTTATTATATAATAAAATAATAATTAAAACTGTTACTTTCTCTTATAATAAAATATGGTGAACAACAATAAGTAAAACTGTTACTTTCTCTTATATCAAGGGATAAATTTATATGCTAAAATTTAATTTTTATTAGTATAAATGTTTTACTGAGATAATATATTAATTATTTTACAAGCTAGCCCTAACATGCTCATATTTAATGTTTTAAAAGATGTAGAAAAAAACTTATAATAACTCTATTGTTTTTTAGACTTAAACGTTGATTAAAAGAGGTAAAAATTCCTAACTTTTTAGACTTAAACGTTTATTAACACCATAGATTGAGGGTCTATATTTAGTAAAATTCTTAATTGTAATAAAAAAATTAATTTTTGCTATATTTTAGAATATCTTTAAATTCATTAGAAAAAAAAAGAAAAAAAAAACTACAATGAAAAAAGCAAGTCAGCTATATATCGATTTGTTGTACTCCTCAAATCACAATCACAATTTGGCTACAAGGAAAGGAAACTCATTGATTAAAATATTATTTTGTCAGTAGTCTTAATGTACAAGAGACTTTAAGACTCCACTTGAATATTATAAAACTTTTATTGAACATTGTACAATTTTCTTGCGTATTATAAACTTTTATTGAATATTGCATCTTATAATATAATATTCTCCAAATAAAAATATCCCGTGCTTCGCACGAGTCACGTACTATATATATCCCGTACATTTTTCTTTATTCATGTATATAATTATAAGTCTGGATAAATAGCCTTAAAATTGTGCACCCCGTGCATCGCACGGACTCTGTACTAGTATTTTTTAACTTACAAGCGTAATTTGTAAGGTGTGGAACATAAGAAGTGTTAAACTCTTGTTATATTTTTTAAATTCAAAATATTATTTTAACAAAGATCGGATTAGCTTACCAAATAAGATCATGCTTATCAATTTTATTTTTCAAATGCTTATCCGATTAGTTACTTGTTTTCTAGATATATATTTGTAACAATCATTAGTATTTTGAATAGCTATGAATAAAAAAATATAAAATATCTATATAAAATATAAAAATAAAATTGATATCAAATGATATTTTTATTCATGTAAACTTACACAAGGAACAATATAGTAATATATTATTTAAAAACATGGATTTATGTAATAATCCGAAAAATTGTGAAAACCAATTTGAGTGCAAACCAAAAGAGTGTGATTAGAACATGCATTTCGATTTATTGCAAAAATATATAGTATATATATTTTTGGATTTGTTGCTTGATTTGTAGATATTTTGTTTTAACAACCAAAGATATTTTGTAAATTGTGGAATCTAAGAAGTATAAAAATCTTGGTATAACTTTATATTTAAAATATCATTTTATAAAAGATCGGATTAGTCTAACAAATAAGCTCATGCTTATCAATCTTATTTTTTAATTGCATATCGGAATAGTTAATTAGTTTGTACATATTTTTTTATTCCAACCAAATGTATTTAGTATTTTGGATAATGCGGATTCCATGAATAATTCAAATATTGGTATATGGTTGTAGATTTTAATTCAAATTCATATAGGATTATGATTTATAATTATAGATTTATTTGGTTTTAACAACCCAATGGTAGAAGAATTATCAAAGATTTGGTCTAATATTTGGCTAGATATACCATTACACTAATAAGCTATTAAAATTCTAAATTATGTTAAATGAGATTTCCGTTTTATTATATGCCAAGTAAATTGTTAGTATTTATTAGTAGGATATTTTTTTCAAACCCTTATCGATTAGTTACTTTTATTCTAGATATATATTTGTAACAACCATTAGTATTTTGGATAGCCTGGATTCTATGAATCAATAAAATTTAAAATATATCTATATAAAATATAAAAATAAAATTGATATCAAATGATATTTTAATTTATGTAAACTTCCAATCGGATCAATATAGTAATATATTATTGAAAACCATAGATTGAATCCGAAAAATTGTGAAAACCGATTTGATTGCTCACAAAAGAGTTTGATTAGAACGTGATTTTCGATTTATTGCAAATATATAGTATATATTCTTTGATTTGTTGCTTGGTTTGTAGATATATTGTTTTAACAACCAAGAATATTTGTACATATTTTTTTTATTCCAACCAAATATATTTAGTACTTTGGATAGTGTGAATTCTTTGAAAGATTCAAATCTTGGTATATGGTTGTAGATTTTAATTCAAATTCATATAGGATTAGGCTTAATGGTTATAGATTTATTTGGTTTTAACAACCCAATTGTTGGGTTTTCAAAGATTTATCGTTTTGGTGTGATAAATTAATACGAACAACTCAATCCAAACTAATAGAACAATAGATAAAATCAACCAACTTATATATTGAAGCAAAAGCCTTGGCAACTATATTTTACCTAGAGGCTGCTAAGAAAATATTGAACGTCTGAAAAACATTAACCAAACTCAACCCGGAAATTAAATCCTAAGAAATAAAGATTGTTCATAAAATCCAACTAAATAAATTGATTAAACCTATAAACTATTAACTAATATAATATTTATCTTAAACTCCACTGTCATCACATCCTTCTTTTTGGTCCTCGATCAAATTTCCATCACCATCGACCTTTGCTTTCCCTTTATTGCTTGTAACAGATTCAACAGCAAATTGATCAGATAGATTGCGTTTTACGACATCCGTGAGTGCATACTTGAGTCGTGGCACGCTTGCGACAACACACCAACGACGGCACGGGTAGGCTGCGATGCCTTCGACACGGCTGTGCAAGCTGGACAACTGGTTTGCTCCGATGACGGTCGTTTGGCCCAAAAAGGTTCAAGCTTCACAAATGCTTTTTGAAAATATGCCAACAGCGGAGGTTCGATACTTGGAAAATAAAGAGGCTCGACTGTTACGATCAAAATATCCCAACCAAATTTCAACACCAATCAAACTCAAGAGTCGGGTTAGCCAATATACCTTGTGTCGGAAAAAAAGAAACACAAACACCGGAAGAAAAAGGTTGCTCGGTCACCGGAGTGCCCTTGTCTCGGCTTGGTTGATTTCTGAAAAAGGCTCTTCTCTATGTACGCAATCGAACGCATTTCGAGGTCGGTCGACTCTGTGGTGCTGTGAAGGTCGCTGGTCGCGGCTCGAGGTCGGATGCAGAGGAGGGTCACCGGAAGTTAGATGTGAGCTCAAACTCGCCAGGATGTCTCGAAATGCCGATGAGTTTCATGGACGATGCGGCGCTGGAACGGAGAGAGGATTTGGGGCTCGCGATATAGGGTTGCTCTGGCCGTTGGAATTCGAGGCTCGCTGCTTGTGGCCGGACGACGCATTTGCCATGTTTGTCTCGTCGAAGTAGAAAATTGTAGAAAAATTCGAGGATTTTCGTGAGTGAAATTGAGGGTGAGATACGGAGAGAGAACTTAGGGCTGACTGAGGATTTTAAAGAAGAAGGATTGGGTGCAAAAAAATCCCAATGGACCTGCTGAAATTTGGGGAAGATGAGAGAAATTTGGGGAGGAGATTTGAGAAGAGATGACCGATTCTATTCGGTTCAACATAATTATCTATTTTTTTCCTTTTCCTTTTTAATCTTATTTTCTTTAATATTTAATTATCTTCTTACTTAATTAGGAGTTAATAAATTAGATTTAGTTAATTAGCATAATAATCTTTAAAGTTGTTAAAAAATCCATGTAGGTTGTCAAAGTTGTTAAAAAAAGGCAAAAAAATTTGAACAGATTATCAAAAATGTTTAAAAAAAAAAAAAAAGGGATAAAATATTATTACTATCACATCCGAACAGATTACCAAAATTTTTGAAAATCATTATCACATGTGTGTTTTAAAATATTACTTATAATAGTAAGTCACTCATTTATTTTTTGAGTCAAAGTTATTATTTATGTATTTTTCCAACAACCTCTTTATATTACAATAGATAAGTAAAGAAATATCAAATAGTTGTAAAGATTTTTTTTTTTGGTCACGAGAACAAAATAGCACCGTAGGCACCCCCAACTTGATTTTTTTCGTTACCACGCAGTTTAGGTATTGGAAATGGCAGCAACATCTTGTTTCCATGGCTCTCTGTCTCTCATTCCCTCGTTTAAAAGGTGTGATTTAATTATGATTGGAGAAAACAGTAAATGGCTGCCTTTTTCATATTCCTCTTCCTCCTCAAGAAGCAGCAGAAGAAGATTCCTCATCAGATTGAAAGTAGTCTCGAGGTCGTCTCCCGCTGCTCTGCGTGGCATCAACTATAGCATTCCTCCGCCGGCGGCGGCGACCGACTCCATATCGCAGCTCAACGAGAGAATCCGGCGCGAGCACAGCAACAGAGAATCGCCTCCCATAGATTCCAAGGAGGCCGAAACTTACATTAAGCTCGTCAAGGAGCAGCAGCAGAGGGGTCTCCAGAAGCTCATGGCCCAGGCCAACACAGCTAATTCCTCCACAAACTATAAGGTGGATCCTTACACCCTCCGCGCTGGGGACTATGTCGTGCACAAGAAGGTTGGGGTTGGGAGATTTGTGGGTATCAAATTTGTTGATGCTTCTAAGGCTTCCTCCCACCCAGTCGAGTATGTCTTCATAGAGTATGCTGATGGAATGGCCAAGCTGCCCATTAAGCAGGCGTCTCGTATGCTCTACCGCTTTCATCTGTATCTTTTTTTTTTTTTTTCAGTTTTCTTTTGATGCATAAGCTCACGGACTCATCCTCAACTTCTATTCGTGTGGTCATCAGACCAAATGAAACCAAGAAGCATCGGGCGCTAAGCAAATTGCATGATACTAGTGCGTGGGAGAGAAGAAGGATCAAGGGTAAGGTCGCGATTCAGAAAATGGTTGTAGACCTGATGGAGCTCTACCTCCACAGACAAACAGAGACGGCCTCCTTATCCTAAAGTTCCCGCCATGGCTGCTTTTGCATCTCACTTCCCGTACGAGCCAACTCCAGATCAGAAACAGGTATCTGCAATGGGTGGTAACTGGTAACTCTCTCCATTGTTTATTTTTCCTACATAGATAAACTGTTGAGTTTAGACAGGTTCCTTCTCTTGTTTTGTCTCTGGCTAATTTCTCACAGTATAATTCTCACTTTAGGCGTTCATGGATGTGGAAAGGGATTTGACTGAGCGAGAGAACCCCATGGACAGGTTGATTTGTGGCGATGTTGGTTTTGGGAAAACTGAAGTTGCACTGCGTGCCATATTTTGTGTAGTCTCTGCTGGAAAGCAAGCTATGGTTTTAGCCCCAACTATAGTGCTGGCAAAGCAACATTTTGATGTTATCTTGGAGCGATTCTCTGCGTATCCTAATATCAAAGTTGGACTTTTAAGTAGGTTCCAGGTATTTTTTTTTTCTTTTTCTATGTTTCGTTTCTGACATTCAATCTACTAGGCCTGTATGTTGGTTGGTCTGGGCCTCCGATATCTACAGATTGCCTTAAATGGGATCTATACTGGACAACTTTGGCCATTGAGCTCCAACAGTACCAATTAATTTGCAGGAATTAGTTTTTCTATTACTGTATTATTCGTGAATTTGTTTCAGTTGTATATCCATTTTATTTTTTAAATTAGAGACCCTTCGGGCAAGTAGCCTTAGATGGGATTGAGTGATGTTTCAGCGCCCTGAGTTCATGAGTAATTAGGACACTATCTAGCAAAGAAACAGCATGTTTTCTTATCTGTGTGAGCGTGCTCTCGCATGTGATCTTATGTTACAACAAATACAGGCATCACATCTTGTAATCATTGAATGAGCTTGAGTTTAAACATGGTCTAAAGAGAAGCTGGCTTATACACATTTCTGTGACCTTTTCGTCCCTTTCTGTTTTTGGTAAATTTTACATGTGTTGTGAATTTGAAATGAACATTGAAACTCATTATAAAAGACATTGATAGTTTAAGTTTGGAGTCCATGAACTTGAACTGGTTTGTACCATAGATTTCAATTACATAAAACATTGAGTTTCCGTATGTGCAGTGTATGAAAAAGAGAATTGATCATGAGAGTGTCATGGTCGTAATCAGATGATTCAGATCATTTGCCCCTTATATTTTTTATAAACTGGGTTTTGTGATTAGAGATGAGGATTTAGGTGTGTTTGGGTTGAATATTGTGGTTAACTCTGTTAACTATATATTATAGGCCCAGCCCATATTGCTTAAGGCCTTAAGTCTATATATATGTGGCTATCCTCACTTGTGCATATTCATACGTCCAAAACCCTAAGGTTTGTAACATGGTATCACAGCCTTACACATAATATTTTTTTTCGATCTCACCTCCCACACCAATCACATCACCGCCCCGAGATCGACCTTCCGGCGAAGTTTCGCCGTCAGAAACGGCGCGTGTGAGTCACACGCGCCGCCGGAAGTTTTCTGCCATCAATCCCATGCGCCGGCGCGTGTGGGCGCGTGGCTGGCCGGAATTTTTTCCGGCGACCATCCGTGAACTCGGAATTTTATGCTCGTGCTGCCAGCGTTCTTCGTTTTGTATTTCGGGAAGTTTTGGTGTTCGTTTTGTGCATTTTCAGATCCGTCATTCTTCGGGGTTAGGGTTTTTTGTACTCTAATCTGTCTCGACCAGTCGTCAATTTCTATTTTTTGTTGTCCATCACATATTGTGTGCCTCAAGGCTGCCCGTTGCAGCGCTTTCATTCATACTTCATCGCGGCTCGTTGCTACGTGTTTGTCAAATCATGTCGCAACTTCATGGAATTGCTATCAATATTACTCTTGATGGTCAGAATTATCAGGAGTGGGCTTTCTCTGTTGAAACAGTGTTGAGGAGTTACGGTTTGGCTTTTCACTTGACTGATGAAGGACCCGAAAGGAAGGCCGATAATAGCAATGCTGCCGAAATCAAAATATGGCAGATCAATGATGGAAAAGTGATGGCTGCCATCGTCAACAGTGTCAAGCAGTCCATTATTATGAGCCTTTCTTCATTTCGGACAGCCAAAGGGATGTGGTCCTATTTGCAGCAGCGCTATGTTCAGGATAGTGGTGCTCTCTTACACACCCTTATGCAACAAATTCACGTGATTGAACAGAACTCCATGTCCATTGATGAATACTACTCTGCTTTTGATCGTTTGATGGAACCATTGATCTCTATGGTACCTCAGTGCTCGGCGGAGGAGTGTTCAGCACATAAATTTGTTGAGAAGTTCTTTATTTATCGCTTTGTCATGGGAGTCAGAGCAGAATTTGAGTCCATTCGTACACGATTGCTTCATAACTCCTCTACTCTGACCATGGCACAAGCATTATTTGAATTGATTGCTGAAGAGACTCGTCTCCATTCTCTGTCAGTTGCTCCGCCATCTGTATCGCAGAGTGTTCTGGCAGCTCCTCAAAGGACATTTTCTCAACGGCTTAGTGCACCCAGAGGTGACTCACCAGAACCCTGTAAGCATTGTGGGAAGACAGGTCACAGTCACGAGAATTGTTTTACTCAGCATTCAGAAAAGTTAGCTGAGTATCGTGCGCGTCGTGCTGCTTGGGCTCGTGGTACGACTTCTGCTACAAAGGGGTCTGTTTCCGTCGCTGCTGCCTCTCCTGTCCATGCTCCTCAGTCTTGGGTCCTCGATTCTGGAGCATCTTTTCATGTGACATCTGATCACTCCCAGTTGGTTGCTTGCAAGGCGGTCCCCGATGGTGCTTCTATTCAGACAGCTGATGGCACTTCTTGCCATATCACTCATGAGGGTTCTCTTTGCAATTCTCGTTTTTCAGTGCGTAATATCTCTTATGTTCTCTTATGTTCCTAAATTATCTATGAATCTTCTTTCCGTTGTCAGGTCACTGATCAAAACTGTTTTGTTGGATTTGATGATTCATCTTGTTTTATCAGGATCGTCGAAGCAGGGCTGTGATTGGGACTGGCCATTGCCGTAAAGGTTCTCCGAGCCTCTACGTGTTAGACACTTTACATCTTCCCTCTGGTTCTACCGCTCGTGTGTCATCCATTGCATCGTCTTCCACATCATCTTTTGCCAAGTGGCATCATCGTCTTAGTCATTTGAGTGGGTCTCGTTTGTCTACTTTGATTAGTACTGGTTGTTTAGGTCGTACATCTATCGAGTCTAGTTTTCATTGTAAGGGTTGCAAGCTCGGAAAACAGCTGCAACTCCCATATCCTGCTAGTATTTCTCATTCTGTTAGACCTTTTGATCTTATTCATTCTGATGTATAGGGTCCGTCCCCTTTTTCTACAAAAGGTGGCAATAAATACTATGTTCTTTTTATTGATGATCATTCTCGATATATTTGGGTTTATTTTATGAAAAATCGTTCTCAGTTGTGTTCCATTTATAAAGATTTTGTTCGCATGGTTCGTACTTAGTTTTCTACTTCTATTCGAGTTTTTCGTTCTGATTCTGGTGGTGAGTATATGTCTAACAATTTTCGTCAATTTTTGACTTTTGAGGGCACTCTTGCCCAGCTCTCATGTCCTGGTGCACATGCTCAGAATGGTGTTGCAGAAAGAAAACACCGATATCTCATTGAGACTGCTAGAACCCTTCTCATTGCCTCTTTTGTTCCTTCTCATTTTTGGGGAGAAGCTGTGTCTACAGCCGTTTATCTTATTAACCGACAGCCGTCTTCCAAACTGTCTGGTAAGTGTCCTGGTGAGGTTCTTTTTGGTATTCCCCCTAGCTATGATCATCTTCGGGTTTTCGGATGTACATGCTATGTATTGCTTGCTCCTCGTGAGCGCACTAAACTGACTGCTTAGTCGGTTGAGTGCGTCTTTTTGGGATATAGTTCTGAGTATAAGGGCTATCGTTGTTATGATTCTTCCGCTCGCCGCATGCGTATATCTCGTGATGTAACTTTTGTCGAGGATCGTCCTTTCTTTTATAACCCATCCACTCCTCCCACAACTTCTTCTTCTTCAGAGTCTACGTCATTTTTATGTCTTCCTCCTATTTCTTTTCTTGATGATGATGTCCCTGTCTCTTCTCCATCTTCCACTCATGATGAGCCTGCACCACCTAATTTTGATGAGCCTCCACCATATAAACAACCCATCACACAAGTCTATACTCGTCGTTCCAAAGGTCACATAACGCTTCCGCCTCATTCTACTCCATTGGCCAGTCCTGATGCTCCCGTCCTAGATGATTCTGATGTGTCACATGCCATTCCTGAAGAATCTGAGGTTGGTCAGAGATATAATTTACGTGATCGTGTTACTATTGTTCCTCCTGATAAGTTGGGCTTCCACGTGCGGGTGCTATTATTGATGAGCCCTCAACCTATCAGGAAGCTTCGAGTATTCCAGAGTGGCAACTAGCTATGTCAGAGGAACTTGCTGTCCTTGATCGTACTGGCACTTGGGATCTTGTTCCGTTACCATCGCATGCCGTGCCTATCACCTGTAAGTGGGTCTTTAAGATTAAGACCAAGTCAGATGGTTCCATTGAGAGATATAAAGCTCGTCTTGTTGCTAGAGGCTTTCAGCAGACTCAGTGGCGAGATTATGATGAGACTTTTGCTTCCGTTGCTCACATGACTACTGTTCGTACTTTAATTGCAGTGGCCGCTACTCGTTCCTGGACCATATCTCAGATGGATGTGAAGAATGCTTTCCTTCATGGTGATTTGCATGATGAAGTTTATATGCAGCCACCACCGGGTGTTGATGCCCCCTCTGGACATGTTTGTCGTCTTCGTCGCGCATTATATGGTCTCAAACAGGCTCCTCGTGCTTGGTTTGAGTGTTTTGTTTCTGTCATACGGGCTGCTGGTTTCTCCCCTAGTGATCATGATCCTGCTTTGTTTATTCATCTCTCTTCACGTGGGCGTACTCTACTTCTTCTATATGTTGATGATATGTTGATTACTGGAGATGATGAAAAGCATATTTCCCATGTTAAGAAGCAACTTGGTCAACAATTTCAGATGTCTGATTTGGGTCCCCTTAGCTATTTTTTATATTTTTTGGGCATTGAGGTGATGCATTCTGTCTCGGGCTATTACCTTTCTCAGTCCAAATACATACAGGACCTTCTTGTTCGTTCCGGTATTACTGATAATCGGACAGCGGTTACACATATGGATCTTCACTTACAGCTTCGTCCTACTGATGGTAGTCCTCTTGAGGATCCCTCTCGCTATCGCCATATTGTAGGCAGTCTTGTTTATCTTACTGTTACCAGGCCTGACATTGCTCACGCAGTTCATATATTGAGTCAGTTTGTGAGTGCTCCTACTTCAATTCATTTTGGGCATTTGCTTCGCGTGTTACGATACTTAAGGGGAACATCATCTCAGTGTTTATTTTATGCTCGTGATAGTCCGCTTCAACTTCATGCTTACTCGGATTCTACTTGGGCGAGTAATCCATCTGGTCGTCGTTCTGTCACGGGTTATTGCATTTTTCTTGGTTCTTCTCCCCTTACATGGAAGTCCAAGAAGCAGACAGCTGTATCTCGATCTAGTACAGAGGCCGAACTTCGAGCACTTGCTACTACCACTTCAGAAATTATATCGCTTCGATGGTTGTTAGCTGATTTTGGTATTCCATGTGATGATCCTACGCCTCTTCTTTGTGATCTTCTTTGTGATAATACTGGAGCAATTAAAATTGCCAATGATCCAGTAAAGCATGAACTTACAAAACACATTGGTGTTGATGCTTCCTTTACCCGATCTCACTGTCATCAGAAAACAATTATTCTTCAGTATGTGCCGTCAGAACTGCAAGTGGCTGATTTTTTCACCAAAGCACAAACTAGAGAGCAACATCGGCTTCATTTGCTCAAACTCAATGCTTCGGATCCTCCACCTCCACCTTGAGTTTGAGGGGGGGGATGTTAACTATATATTATAGGCCCAGCCCATATTGCTTAAGGCCTTAAGTCTATATATATGTGGCTATCCTCACTTGTGCATATTCATACGTCCAAAACCCTAAGGTTTGTAACAAACTCTACCATCACTATTAATTGTTTGAATTACGGTTGTTAATTGCTAGGTTTGGTTTGGACTTGTGGCACCTACTGATGGAGGTTGCCTCCCTGACATTTTACTTTTTGTGGTTATCATTTCACATATATTGATAGGATCGTCAATTCTACAATTTTTTTTCCGGACTGTCTTATTGAGCTAGCAATTTCATTTATGAGTTCTTGCATTGATCCCTACTGTCCTGGTTTTAAAACTTCATTTTGCAGTCTGTATTATTGTTGGTCTTCTTTCTTGGATGCATAATATTGTGTAATGCTACTGCTTTTCTCTTGGACCACTTATGATATAAGATATTCTAACTTCTCTAGTGTGGAATCCATGTTGATTGAATCACAACCAAGTCCGAGAATGAGGCACATCTGCAGATGATAAAACAAGGTGATCTGGATATTATAGTTGGGACTCATTCATTACTGGGCAATCGTGTTGTTTATAGTAACATTGGGCTGCTTGTTGTCGATGAAGAGCAGGTTAACTCTTTTTCCTTTCACTTTACACGGATTGAATTGAGTTGACCACTCACCTATCATGCATATTGTGCAGATCCATTTATTTTTTAAAAATTTTGTTACATCAAATTGTAAACTAATATTCATAATTAGTGGTCTTTTGAAGATATATGATTTTGAATCTATATTGCCTTTATAAACTAAAAAAAAATTAATTGTTTATGCAAAATGATTTTCCGTTTTAGTGAATTATTTTTAATTAAAAGATATCAATTATCATTTTTTTTTTTCTAATTTATAAGCATGAAAGTTATGAATTTTCTTCTGTGGCCAATAATTCGCATAGTGACTCAACAGTCAACCCGTTAGGTTATCTATTCAAGGTTGTATTTAATTTTTTAATATTTGTATGCGTCCATTTTTATTTTATTAACAAAAGTTCAAACCTATATGTTAAATTGAATAAAAATATTATTTTACTTTTATTTGTACTAAATATTTATATTTTATGAGATATAAAATAAAACAACGAAAGAAAGGGAACTAGGAAACAATTTAAAAAGAAAATTAATATAATTTTAGCATAATTATGTCTTATGTATTCATAGTAAACTAATCGAAGCACACTTTAATTATAAACACACAGGAATAACCATTTCTAGAATCATGTGGCTGAAAAAGGTGATCAAATGTTAAGTCAACATGAAATCAACAATCACAAGTAAATCTCTGATCTTTAAAACACTTGAAATATTGAGATTTATGTAGATACTCATGTATGTCTATGCAAGTTGAACATTAATAAATTGTTAGATTATTTATATGTAGTATCATATTTGAAAGTTTATAAGTATTTATTATGTTTAATAAAATAAACATAACAAGTTGTATATCTAAGCTATCATATTATCTTCAAACATAAATTAAAAACAAGATAAAAAATTGGCCATACCTCTAAACCGATTGCATATGGGAATCAACATTAGCCCAAGTGTATTGAGTATGTTGTTTTTTCTTGGCAAGTCGTCCCGGGGTTGGATCTCATGGTGTGCGTGTGTTGGAAATTTTTCTTTCTTTATGGTTAGTTGAGCTATGCCTGAAAAGAAAGGATATATTAATATTAAATTGATATATTTGTTTCACTCAATATAGTGTCATGTTTGTGATAAGAGGGTATTTCAGGTGGATCGATTGGGTTGTATAACTCTTGTTGGCTAGTTTTCATCATGTTATTTCATTAATTGTTGGATTTGTTTTTATTTAGTTTTCTTGTTAGTGGACTATGGAGTTGTTTATTAGTGGGCCTTGTTGGAAATAGGGTCCAACAGATACATAGAGCATGTTTGGAACTACTTATCAAATGAATTTTTGAATACGAAGTCCATTTCAACAATAATTTATGTTTGGTGGATAATTAAGAATGGATGTTTGGATTCCAGAAAGTCAATTTTAAAGAAGTAAGAAATAGAGACTTTTTGAAAAGTCCATTTATAAAATGGACTTTTACAAAAATGCTCCCAAACAAGCACATAACAACAGTGCACAAACAACAAGCCGTGTATGCTCATCTTCATGCAGAACACAACCAGTAACCTATGACTTCTTTTATTTGTGTTTCCAAAATCAACATTTTGGGTCTACAGAAATATGTGAAAGTTTTGTATCCATTTCTGTTTTTTCAGAGATTTGGTGTAAAACAGAAAGAGAAGATTGCTTCATTCAAAACTTCTGTGGATGTGCTCACACTTTCAGCAACACCTATTCCAAGAACACTTTATTTAGCGTTAACAGGGTTCCGTGATGCCAGGTAATCATCAAATGACTAAATCTGATTTTTCATGTGCTCATCTACCTTAAAAGGATCAGGTAAGGTATTGGTATAGCCTCACACGCATTGTACCCGAATTTGGTTTGGTTTACAAACTTACAAACCTAAATGTAATCGTGTTGCATAGACTAATTGATGATACAATGCAATAATGTCTAGATTTTATCTACTTGTGCATAATATAATGTAAATAGTTGTGTCCATTATTACTCTGCATGTTGGGTCTGCTCAAATATTTGAATAAATGAGTCTCACCGCATACACTTCTCAATTTACATAATACTACTATATACATACATTCAGCATAACTCTAATATCTGTGTTATAGTAATATTATATACATTTAGCATAACTCAAATATCTATATTATAACATGTCATGTTGATTCATTTGTAAATATTATATTAAGGTTATATTTGCAAATTATTACTGGTTATGTTGTATTCAATATATTATTATATGTAAATTATCCTATATCAAAAAATGTAACATCAGTAATTGTGAAATATATAATAAAAACTAATTTACTACACCCAATATATAATTATAATAAAATACAATATTTGCAATAATATATATTTTATAATTTATATATTACTTAAATATAATTGTTAAGCATAATAGGGACACTTTCACCTTCAATCCATACTATTCATACCATATATTGCCTTACCTACCCTATTACTTGAATGCCAAAGTACTGATAGTATTAGATTTGTTCTCTACATTTATGTGCTTATACTAGTTCTCCTTCCTTTAATATTCATTATATTTTCAAATTTTTGGTTATTTTTTATGAGATAGATTATTTTTTAAAAATTATCCATTTATTATTATGTCAAAACTTAGATAACTTCATAATTTCCAATTACATAATTTATGTATACATTTTTTAACTTACCTTTTCCTTTTATAAGAATTTTTACACTGTATTATTTATTTCAATTTCAGTTAACTTAGTAGTTGGTGGATGCAATTGTGTTTATTCATTTTTATATCAACAATTGTTCATCACATAAAATTTTTAAACCCATGTAGAACAAAGACACTGATTATAGCAAATATTTATTTATTTATTTTTTTTTTTTTATTTTTTATTTTTTTTTTGTTTACACTGACAATAGCAATGTAAATTTTGTTTTTGGTTTTTTCACTGTTTTTTAATATATAATATGTTCTCTTTTCATTCAAAATGTAAATCGTAATTTAATAAATATATTTGCGGATGACAAAATAATATTTACGATTTATCAAAATTAATAACTGATATTGTTTCAGTATTGATAATAATATATAGTCCATTTAGTCCATGCATACTTACATTTGTCATGCATTTATGTTTTATTTATTATACAATAAATTTTAGTGATATTTATTATGAATTTTGTCAAAAATATTCAAAATATTAATGAAGTGAATTTTATGATCATCTAAGTATTTTTTTTTCCAATACTTATTAAATTAGTTTATAAGAATTCTTGGTCATTGACTTATTGAGTTGTACATTAATTCTTTTCTTTTCACAGCTATTTGATATTTTTAACTTGAAATTGATATGAACATGCAAATTTTATAAGTACAATCAATATAATATTTTTATTTTATATATCAACACGGGTATCAAATTGGTGCATGTTAAGAAATATTTAATTGGATATTTAATAGTAAATAAAGATAAGAAATAAGAAACTTATTATATTTTTCAATTTTTCAAAATACAATAGAACACAAGTTACATGATTTATTACGATGTTGTTTTTGGTCAGTTACTTGATAGGACTTATTAATTAGCTCCATCCCAAAAATGTGAATAAAGAAAACCTTATACATTCTATTTATGTCTCTCTTTAAAATTTAAATATACATCAATGAATTGCATAATTTCATTAGATTAAGGTATTGCTTGGTTTATTTTGCATAATTTCATTAGATTAAGGTATTGCTTTGTCCATTGCAAATGGAGTTGGAAGAATCATTGTTGACAATTCTCCTGGCATAGTGCTAATAATGGACTAGATCAAAATAGCTCAATTAAATTCTAGTGCCTTTTCTATTAGTGAAGTTTGTAGAAATTTTTTTTTATCAAACGGCGCAATGCACCTTGAGTCGCTACGGAAATAGCCTCCTTGTATAATTACAAGGGTAAGGTCTGCGTACAACTGACCCCCAGACCCCAACCTGTTGGGAATATACTGGGTATATTGTTGTTGTTGTTGTATATTGCTGCAGTAGTAGAGTGATGTTCTCGATTACGGCTTGCTTGGAATTCCATAAATATATTGATGACTTACATGCTATTGTGAATGTATTTTCTCTTTTCTTACCTGTAGTTTAATATCAACACCTCCTCCGGAGAGGGTTCCTATAAGAACCCATCTTACTGCTTTTACCAAACAAAAAGTGATATCTGCAATCAAGCATGAGTTGGACCGAGGTGGCCAAGTTTTTTATGTTGTACCTCGTATAAAGGGTAATTTGGATGAACATTACATTGTAGTAGTCATATACTTGTTTACTTATTTACTTACAGAATCACTGTAAAATCAAGATCATCTGCTGTCCACAGGGCTTGAAGAGGTTTTGGAATTTTTAGAACAATCATTTCCAAATGTTGATATTGCAATAGCCCACGGAAAGGTGTGTATTATTTATATTTTAATCCTTGTGAAAGTAAACTTATTTATACCTCCAAACACTTGATAATTGCATGTGAATTTTTCTTATGAAAGGACTAAGGAGTATTATCTAGCTTTCTGAAACAGAGAGGTTGTTCTTTCTAATATTGCTGGTTATTTAAGCAGTTAGCATCATCATCCTTGTTGGCAAAATTATTATTCCTTGTAATTGTTATGCCTAATAGTCTTTTTATCTGTAACTGGGAAAAGTGATGCTTGGTGGAATTTCTCGTTTCCCAGAAATTGGGTAAAAACTTTGTTGTACTTGCCATCCAAATTAATTCAGTTAGTCAACTTTTGTAGTATATTGTTGGGTGTCTATTTCTCCTTTTGGTCTGTCTGTCAAGGTATGGTTTTAGGAACTAGCTCTTCATAGTAGTCTTATTAATCTGGTTTGGAATCAATTCTCTTGAAATCTATACATCCAAATATTAAATTCTAAATAATTTAATGAGGTTATACCAGTAGCATCATTGCTTCCCATAGTTGCATGTGCAGCAATGTACCCTATACTTTCTACATCCTTCTTGACAAAATTTCAGATTTTCTACTGACGTAGTGATGAAGCAGCATTTTGTATAGTGCTATATTTTTGTACATAAATATTGTGTCAAAATTCCTTATATGTTCTGCCTTTTCTGTTATGCAGCAATACTCGAGACAACTTGAGGAAACCATGGAAAATTTTGCACAAGGGCATATTAAGATTCTAGAATGCACAAATATTGTTGAAAGTGGGCTTGACATTCAAAACACAAACACCATAGTAATTCAAGATATTCAACTATTTGGTCTTGCACAGTTGTATCAGGTTTTGCTTGTTCCAATTCTTTTATATATTTTCTTGTGATATCCGGTTTTCCAATTTGATAAACTTGTCTTTCGTATAAATCTCTAATCAAGACACGTGATGATCCTCTAGGTTATAATCTTCCGTATAAATCTCTAATCAAAACACGTGATGATCCTCTAGGTTATAATCTTCATCTGCTAGCCATGATGTTCGAAATTGCTTTTCTTCCCATGATTTATCCCAATGAAACTTAAAAAAGAAAATTGCATTACAGTTCTTGTTGCTTTTTGGTTTTTTGGCGTTAAAATTTGATTTGAAACTTTGAGCCTCACCTCTATAGTTGACATTAGTTAGGGATCATGATGGGCCATTTAGGGCTGAGTACCTAGAGACGTAGACCCGCCACCGCCCTAGCTGGGCAAAATTTTCATCCCATGCCCTTCATTAGAGAATCTCCAATGCTTGACAACTTGAGTTTAATTAGGAGAACATATTTATAAATTAACTAGTACGTAACCCGTGCGATGCACGGACTGTATACTTTTTTCGGAAACATAATGTAGTACCGGTGCGCAGTACGGTGGGGTTATTTCCTCAAACATTTTTGTCTAAACTTTATTTAATATTTTTTTATTATAAATTAATAATTTGATTGTAATAGAAAAAAAAGAGAGAGAAATACAAATTAAAAAAAAAAATCATATATTATTAAACACTTCTCTACAAAAAAAAAAAAGAAATCATATATTATTAAACACTTCTCTATACACAACATTATTGGTTTGATTTGCTTTCAAACCTTCTTCTCCACAAATTAAAATTGTAAGACCCTTTCTGTTAGTAACACGGGAGACAACGACATATAACTGGCTATGACTAAAAACTGGTTTCTTCAAGAATAAGCCAACATGAGATAAGGATTGACCTTGACTCTTGTTTATAGTCATTGCATACGAAACCATAATGGGGAACTGCCTTCTTTGGAATTTGAATGGTACTCTAACATTCGAAGGAGTTATGGTCATTCGAGGTATCAAAACTTTATCACCTGCATGATTGCCAGTAAGAATTTTACACTCGAGAACATGATTGGAGAGTTTGGTCACAACCAATCGTGTACCATTGCAGAGTCCCATTGAGTGATTCATATTCCGCAACAACATAACTGGAGTTCCGACCTTTAAATTCAACTCATGATTCGGTGTTCCAGAACACTTGATAGTATTCAAGAACTCAGGAGTATGGAGTTGTGCCAGAAAGTCGGTATTGGAGTCAGATTTACACGTACTGTCTGAGCTTAAATACGTGCGTCCTTCAGTCAAATTCAACGACGACATGTATGCATTTATAGATTCTACGATCTCGAGTGTTGGCGCGAGTATAGCCCTATCTTTCAAGTAACTTGGATCATCTGTTGCATTCTTGAACATCGGATAAGTGCTTTCAACAATTTTTGCAATTGGATCATCGGATGGTTCTAGTAATAGATCATCTGGTATGTCTATCGGAGCACATCCATCATTTGTACCCCCAATGTGCCATCTCCGATGCTCGCTATCCAATCAGCAAAAGCGGCTAGTTCGTCACGTTCATTCGAATCGCCAATGCTCTGAAGACGCATGTTCTTTGTAAGTCTAAGCACAGTACAGTCTCCCCAAATGGTAGAAGAATTAATAGCAGCATTAACAATCTCCTGACGATTCCCCTTTGGAACTACCGGAAGGATTTGTCGAAAGTCTCCACCAAACACAACAGTCTTGCCTTCGAACGGTTTATGATGATTTGCCGGGTCGATTGCTCCCATTATTGCCTTGAACAGCTTCAAAACAATGCTTGTGCATCATAGGGGCCTCATCCCATATGATCAGTGAAGAGCGAATAATCAACTCTGCAAGGGGGCTAGCCTGATTGATATCACACGATGAATTTTCATGCACAGAAAGAGGAATGCCAAATCGAGAATGTGCAGTGCGACCGCCCGACAACAGGAGAGATGCTATTCCACTTGATGCAACACAAAGTACAATTCGACCGCGCGATCTTAGCCCGACAGCTAAAAGTCCTCCACAAGTATGTCTTGCCAGTTCCACCATAACCATAAACAAAAAACACGCCGCCCCTACCGGAATCAACAGATGTCATTATTCTGGAATAAACACCCTTCTGTTCATCGGTCATATGTGTCAGCAATTCATCATGCTCATTAGCTAGAGCCTTACGGTCATAGTTAAGTTCATCCATAACCAGACGGTTCACACTTGAATTCATACTATTCATATCTGGAAAAGGCATAGTAGAATAGTCCCGAAGGCTTGTACCTCGATGTCTCAATAATGTCTCAATCTCTGCAAGAGCTAAATTTTTTATATCTGCATCACCCAGCTTCAAATCTGAAATAATGATAGATGACCTATTAGATTTCGTTTTTTTACGTGGAATACAAAAAAAAAAAAAAATTAATAATTAAGAAAAACGATGTTATTATAATACTTGATAAATGCATAATATAAAAGGCCCTAAATCTCATACCATCATTATCAAAAAGACGATGTTGCTTGTATAGTATGTCGTCTGATAGAAATTGCCAACACCGTTCCCAAACTTCATCGGGTTTCCCTAAGGATCCAGAAACCAATAAAGACGCGAACATGCGCCTAAGAGAATCAGCAGATGCCCACTGACTTGCTTCGTAATTCCATCAATGTACTCTCGATCATCACCCAACAAACCTCGTGCATAGCAAGCATCGCGATAGGACGTGTATTGAACATCGCCTACCTTCATATAATCCTCGTGGCAAGTAGCTCCACGAACAACATTGACCAAACACCTCAAATAATAATTATCACCAGCATTGGGAGGAACATAGCTCAAACGACCTATACAACCTGGCCTTATTCGAGGAGTCCAGACTCTTTCTTGTTTGTTCCAAACAAATTTTGACGGCGCCTCAACATACGTTAGTTTCCTTGCCTCAGGATACATCTTGTTCGCTTCCATCCATGCCAAAAATTGGCTCTCATTGACGGTGGGATTATTAACAACTTCATCGATAGGATCATCATCATCAAAAACTATATTATGTTCACCTTTCAAATGGAAACTCAGACGTTGCACAGAAGGTTTTTTGTACTGCAGTTCATAACCCAATAGCCTCCACGCCGCCTCGCAAGAAGACACATACCGACAGTCATAGAACATGTTGATCTCGTCAACAGGTTTTTCTATTTCGCCATACGCAGTCGTCTGATAGAATGATGCGGTGACACGATCATGACCTTTATTGACGTACTTGAAAAGGTACTTTATGGATCGCGATTGATTACACCACTCGACATTAATATGCGCTCCATATTTCATCAACAATTTGCGATTGTCAGGCACGACATAACCATTATGGACAATGACCCCATTTTTTTCAATATGCCTTCCATCGTCTCGACGTCTGTATCGTGGATAACCTTCATGATCGACAGTGGTTAAATCGACAAACTTTTTAGGAAACCGTTTACTACATTTGCCATCCACCATGCACGAAGACGATTTTCTAGCCAAACCACAAGGTCCGTGGATCATGTGCTCTTTTACTGCCTCATAATACAACGGATCCGACGTCTCATCAGGTATCTCCGCAGATATTACTCAGTCAATGTCTGACAGATTTGGGAATTTATTTTCTTTGGCGAGAAATAGTAGTATATGAGCATGCGGCAATCCACGCTTCTGAAATTCAATGGTGTAGACAACTACAAAACACAAAAGAAGATAAAACAATTAGAATATTTTTTAAAATGGTGTTAGACACCACGATGGACATATATACAACAATTTTTTTTTCTTAAAATAATACCTGCTATGACTTTGCCGAAAATTTGCTTTTTACGAAAATCCTTGATTAATTCCTTCAATTTTGATTTGAAAACCCTACATATAATATTCGGGCGATCCTCAGGTCGCAGTCTCTTTGGTTCCAAAAAACGAACAATCTCAGGCCATTTTGGATTGCATGTGAATGTTATAAACAAATCGGGATAACCTGCCCATCCACAAATTGCCATTGCATCCTGATAGTTTTGAATCATGTTTCGAGGTCCCCCAGTGAATGAAAAAGGAAGTATAATTCTTTTTCCTCTAGAGCTTGGATCGACATCGCCCTGGAGAACAGCATCCGCCAATCTATTGTACATATCACATCGGAGTCGACTCTGATTGAATCGTATATACCGCAACCTCGATGATTCAACCATGGTATATGCATCAACGACAAACTGCTGAAACAATCTTCTCGCTGAAAGAATAGTAGATGGTTCGTGTTTCCGATCATGGATCCGGTACGGAAAGTATTCCCGGACACTCACTGTTTTTCGACCACGCTCTTTTTCAACTTTTCGATCTGAAAATGGAATGTCTTCTCTATATCCATCCTCACCGTAGGGCAAAGGAAGGGGATATTGTAAAGCCAGATATGAAGCATTAAGCTCATTTATTCGTTGTAGTCGTCCACTCTTGGTTTCAACCAATATATCTCGCTCACCCATAGCCTGATCAAAATCTCCAACGACCAATACAGCAACTTCAGAACTCGTAGGCAAGTTATAACGTCTGGCATCATTAAATCTCCTTCCAATTAAACGAATCCTGACATTAGATTCGCCATGATCTTGAATTCTTTCTCTAGCCAAACGAAATGATTTCACAAGTTCGTTGTACTCATCCAACATGGTCGTCAATCCAGAAATAATTTATCCATTAAAATCAGTAGCACCGTTAACATTTCTGAAAAATGAAAGATTTTTTTTAAGGCAATCAAATAAAATATTATAAAAGAAAAAATAATAAAAACTCGATTAAGGATATTATTTAAATACTGACCTCACAGCATTCATTCTGTTGGTTACTTCATTATCAGTGTCATATATATAGAGCTGAGCAAATTTTGGAGTTGAACCTTCAGAATGAAGTAAACTACCCATGAGATGGTAGTTTTGTCCGTGCAAACTGAAAACGGGTGGTCCCGATCCTTTGTTGATATCGGTATTGATCTTGCCTCCCAGAGAAGTAAAGCCGAACATGCTGTTGTAGGATCTAATGTTTTCTTGAAAGTGTTTGCTAATGCGGCTATCTCCATGTAGCAGTTCACTCAAAAACTGTGGCGGATTATGTAGAACAGGTAGTTCAATCATACCATTCACACAACAACCACCGTACTTGGTAACAGCCGACATTCTATCAGAAGACTTTCTCTCAGCATACC